AGTGCAGTGTTTCGTTAATCAGAAGCTGCAACTATAGAATTGATGACCCCCGATGTACGAACATGTAACAGAATTTGCAATCCTGACGAATGAACATGAACCAAAATTGGTAACTGTGACCTATGAACATAATACAGAATTGGTGATCTCGTTGAGTGAACCCGTCATGACAAACCTAATGTAGGAGGATATGTTGATGAAGAAACTTCGGCATCTTATACTTTTGACAAGTAAACTCAGTGAAGCCTATGCAGCATGAAATGGATATGTTCGAATGGTGTTATCTTATCAATACTTTGTCTTCATGTTAACTCTGCTTATTGATTCATCTGGCTAATTGTTTCGTTATGATTTGAATAATTATCATATATTCATTGTTGCATTAATGTCATGTCATCACATAACGTGGAATTATTATTTCTGTTCGTATTGACATTATATTATGACATTTACACAGTCAAATCACTGATGGAACAAATTATGATTTTATGGACACTACACATCATGACATTCGAAACTCACTGGAAAATTCTTATTATTCAGTAACGTAAGATTTTCCTGATTTAAATTAGTTCGTTCCATTTTCTTTTCCATGTCATGTTTGGCCTCATCCACTTAGTCGAGGTCATTTTTTTAGTGTTATCATACAACACATTTTTCATTTTGATATTTCCTCCTATTATGTCTGTGGATGCCTTTAATTTTATTGAGCTTTACGCTACGATCAATCATCTCTATTTTGTTCTGAAACATTTATCACGTCAGGTTGATTAATTCTGTAGTTGCAACTTGTCTTTGCCTTCTGATTTCATGCACTGTTGAGATTTGTATAATAATAGTTATTGAGGTGGAAGATTGGCGAAGCACTGCACTATGGGTTTTTAGGAGATTGTCTTTTGTTTCAAGAATTAAGTTCAATTAATAGACTATTGGATATTATGACATTGAAGTCTAGGTTAAATTAGCAGTTCTTTAGTTTCACATTGTGAATGGTGATATAGTCCAACTATGATTTCATATCATACATAGTTTTTTGTTGTAAAACTGATTTGTTTGAATCATTAGGTTTCAATATTTCGCTAAGACTTCGGAAAGATTTTGTTTCAATAGAAATCCGATATTATCTTTTCACTTAAACATTGTTTGTAAAAACATTGAAAACAGGTGTTTATTCTTAGTTCGCCAAAAGATATAGGTGTCTAAATCCAGTAAAATATCACCAAGCCCTAGTCAAATCATCCAGTAGTTGGCTCCATGAATGTCAAACAATTCAGCAATCTTCGTCAATATCAAAAGAAACTAACAAGCATCAGTTAATTGCACACCATGGACTGATCGATGCAGCAATGGTCTCACTCTCTTCCTTATACTTATTCACAATAAAATATTTCTGTAATAACGTTGATTGTGTTATACGATCATCAAAGCAGCCTTAGTACCTTCATACGGCAAATGCGTAATTGTCGTTTGGTACTAACCGCCAGGTGTGACTTTGACGTTAGTGGGTTGGTCTGACTCGAGTAGGCCCTCAATCATCCAACACAGATCACCGATTTCAGTGATTTACAGGTGGTTATTCATCGCTTTGTCAAGAGAAATAAAATCCTGCACATACTTTCTGTGTTTAGTTAACATTATCAGTAAACATGTCAATGTCTGGTCAATTTTAGTGGAGTTTTGTGTCTAAAATAAACACTTTATTCGTGAAGCGTTTATTGTTCTTCTGAATAATAACACGTTTAAGGTTGAAAGGTCAAGCTGATACTTATGTGAGTGAAAATCTCAGCACTTTACTTTAACTTGAATGTTTTGCTGAATACGTTGTTCATTGAAAGCTGAACGATTAAACCATGCAGATCAGAAAGCAGAAGTATTATAGAATGATACAGTTATTTCACAAATCTGTTCCGCTACGTATATTGAACGAAAAAGTTTGAATCGAAATGTATCGGGTATGCAAGAACTAGTTGATGTACAATTTTATAACCAAAAACCGTTATTTTTTTGCCCCGACAACAAGTCAAATGAAGGCAAGAAAGTCCAGAAATACTTGTTTAGATCATTAATATTTCGTTCAAATTCGCATTTAGTGTCACCACGGCGATCGGAAGATTATTTACGGTATTTTGATACTTGATGCTTGTCATATAACTTCAAAGAAGATAGCATTTCGGACCATTTCGTTACAGCTATTGGTAGGGAAGCATATAGTTTGTTAAAGTATATTATATATTCTGACAAACCAATTCTACTCTCTGTGAACAAACCGAAGATATTATCAACAGATAACTTTTACGTGACATCATTTGAAACAAAAGAAAGAACACAGATCAACAAACTGGTTTGTGCTCCAAACCATAACACTAGAGATTTCATAATACAGCTTTGGACATAAGCTTCTAAGAGCGATTTCGGTTAGCGGCTGGATATTCAACTTCACTACTGCTTGATAGTTTGTATAAACAGTTATAAACCTGAGAAGAAACTCATACAAATTCATTCCTGAACTTTCGAGACAGTCAGAGATTTCCGTTTTACTTACGAAGACGGTAATGATGACCATCGTGACGCTCTTACGAAACAACATGAAGTTTCACTACCAAATGTGGAAAACCTTTCTATACTGCAGAAACCTGAGAATTCCAACAAGAGCATTTCTGATTCGTTCATACAAGTGAATAATTCGAAACATGTTTCGAATTCGTCTTTGGGTAGTGGATTTCATTTTTAGGCTGCATCTTTGTCGATAATGTCAATTTCATTATGCACATTTCTGTATATGTGGAAAGGTTTGACATGACTAAATAGTTTTTGAAAGTTCCAGTTTGTTTACTAGCGAAACAATGAATGATAGTGATTCAAGACTGCTCACTCACTACCGCCCATGGCAGTACTCCACATTTGATGTAAAAAATAATTGCCAACACAGACAATTCTCACTTACTTCTTGTTGATATTGGCAGTATAGATCCCATTAGTACTTCGAGAAATTTATTGTATCAGTATGATGTTGTTTATTTAAAGCTCACAAGTTGTGCGATGACTTGAATCACTGACCACAAGTTCCCCATTAATGGGACATTTATTATTCAATTGACAAATTAAGAGAGTGGTTCTGTCAATATTCGTTTCCAAGTTAGTGCGTATGGTCCATTTGCACTTTTATTGAAGGGTCTTAGATTACTGAAAGTTCTGTTTTCTTTGTTCTCTAATCCTTCTGATAGTGCAGTAGTCGAATATATAGTCTTACAATGCTCGAAAGTTGTGGCAGGTATGAAGGTTCAACCAGTAAACTTGGAAGTTAAGAGAAAGTCTATCTTCTTAAAAAGTAGACTGATTACATATGTTTTAAGAGAGCCCGTCATGGATGAGCCGGATGAACTGGTTGGAAAAGGGATTATAATCTCAGTCGAGTATTCCAGTTGGATTATTTCCATTGTAACTTTATTGAAGGCAGAGTGAAAAAACCTAGAGTTTTTGGTGACAGGCTGTTGATATTGAATTCTCCAAATTGCAGTTAGACAAAGAAAATAAAATCACGTCGCTGAACAGTTGGAAATATCTAACAAAAATACAAATAAACCTAGACTACGCGGATCCAGAATCAACGTGTTAGGGTTTGATAAATAACTGGCCACATCCCCCCGGTTAAATTGATCCACGAAAAAATTTGACAAACGCCTACTTACTCATGGATTACCATCTACATCTCGAACACTTGTTAATGGCGTCGAGTCGCGAGTGACTATGGCCACCTCTACAAGAAGAATGAGTACCAGGTATCTATGTGGTTCCCTCGGTGTTGCGTCGCGTAGATTGAACGCTATTATTCGCTTGCATAAGCTAGTTCCGTAACCCCAAGCTAGAACTACTCCGCGACTTGAAAACCAGAGAAAAGGCACAAAGTGTGAGGGAAGCACTTAACTACTGGGTTCATTTATGTACAGAAAATTCAGGGATTTTATAGTAATTTAAGAGTCCTTGAGTTTTACCGAAAATTCTAGAATACTGCTAAACATAGTAGCAGTGTGTTAATCAGCCAAAAAAGGATCTCAAAATGTGGCTTTTTTATTCTCGTTATTTTAGGATTATAACTTCGCATAACTTCTAATTAGTCGCTGATTGGTTGAAATGCTCCTTGATGACTCACGAGCTTGTCACGTCGCTTGCGAGAAAATTGCAGCGTCGTCCCAACACTCGGTAGGCCAGAAACCAAAAGGCTGTTAATGGTTGCAATAAGATATATTGGTTGGCGATCTCGTGATGTCGAAAGAATACCTAGACTTGCTGAAGTTTACAGGCGGAACTGTCGAGCGTACGCGCGTTCAAGCAAGGTCACAGGCAACGGAAGGAAAAGTGTTTTTGGTACAGTTAATCATACAAGTGCAGTAAAACAATCACAGGCTCAATTTGTTATAGTAATCGTTTCCATTATACCAATCGCGTTCTCGTCACAAGAGTAGGTCACTACACACGTCTCACAACTCACCCACATTTATTATAATTATATATCAATAACTTCTTCTATCATCAGTTCCGTTTTACTTTCATTCTGACACTCCGGTCTTATCACAATGTCCGCAACACTAATTAACAAACTCACTTATCCATTTATTTATCTTTTTAAAATCATCTCTTTGCATTCGAATTTGCTGTTTACCATTTGCATGATGTGGCCTGCCAACCCCACGCATGGTAATATGAAAACTGCTGGTATGCGGAAACCACATTGGACTCGGAAAAACCCACTCAATAAGCAAAGAAAGATATTGGAAACATACGAGTAAACGACACAAAGCGAATAAAACTCACTGAAATCTCAAGATATGCTAATTCATAAGTAACTACCGAACTGACTAGAATAGGTGCAGTCAAGTGACTGGATTATCATCCGTTTGACATAACCAAATACGTGGGATTGTACTGAAACAACAACGAGAGGCGAGTAAAAAGAAATTAATTGTCTCACACAAACTCGTGTCAGTGGTATTGTATATTGGACAAAGAAATTGAAAACCCGTGCTTTTAGAGTAGTGCGTTACTATGTTTGATTCTTAGTTTCTAGCTTTGCTCTAAAAGTAAGACCCTTGTTTTCCATCATTTTCCCAACCAAACTTGTCCTCTGTACTATTAAAATTGTGTGCAGCGTCCATAAACGTTTTGTAAATGCTGCAAACCTATTCATCATAAATGATAATTATCTTCAGTAATAAGGATAGGAGGTCTAGTGACCTATTTTAATCTTTGCAGTTTGTTACACTGTGGAGGTCCAATCTCGTCTTCAATATATCAACAGAAGGTGCTGATATTACGTGTTCTGGTAGAGAATTCCAGTAATTCACTACTCGGTGCGAGAAACGAAACTCCAGACGTAGACGATTTGATCTCGGTTTTTGGACTTTCTTTGAATGTCCTCTCAAATGATCAACCCTAGACGGGAGGAAAAGATAGGACATGTTAGTACCAAGGTCATCGTTCAGGATATGATATGCCAATATTAGATCACCCCGTATTCGCCGGTAAGATAACGGAAATAAGTTGAGGTGTCTCAGTCTGTCTTCATAAAATAGGCCTTTTACCATTTTTGTCCCGCGGCGTTGGACTCGTTCCAACATAACCGCCTCATATTTGAAACAAGGACTCGCTGCTTGAATCCCATATTCCAAATGTGGCCGTACGAAAGTTGGGTATAATCTAAACATTTCCCCATCCAGATACCGGAAAGATCTACGAATAGACCATAATACCCTATAGCCTTTTGCAGCAGCAGCAGCCTTACAGTGACTGGTTGTTTTGAGACCATTACTTAGTATGACTCCTAAATCTTTATAGTTTCTCACTTTGGGCAACACTAGTCCACATATTGTGTAGTGATACGAATCATCGTAGTTATTTAATTGCATCACTACATTTTTATTAGGGTTTACTTCTAGTGACCACCCATTCATCCATGCCACTAATGAGTTAAGATCTTCCTGTAAAACTATTCTGTCTGACATACTATATATGGGTCTCCAAATCTTAATGTCATCGGCGAATAGTAGGACGGATGACTTAGCTATAGCTGGTAATTCATTTATATAAAGTAAAAAGAGAAGAGGACCCAAAATCGTGCCTTAGGGGACGCCATATTTTACTAGTTCCCACGATGTTTTATTTATTTATTTTTATTTATTTATTTAAACACATAAATATTGGTACAAGGAAGCACCAGATAAATATGCGCCTCACAAATCTCATTCGATTTGTGTGAGGGCTGTGATACTGCCCAGGTGCCCAGACTGAAGCAGGTGGTTTTCTTAGGGGGCCACACCCGGAGCCTTTGACCTGAATGTCTGATCCACAAGGCAGTGGAGCATCGTGAGGAGATGCAGTCCCATGGTAGCCGTTGACCAATGATAGGTTCGTCCGCCATTCGTTCCATCAGGATACTGGAGCCCATGTGCACCATTGGTTTTGAATCAGGGTTTTCCAACTCCCCTAGGTGGACTCTCCGTGTCCACCAACCCGGTTAAAGCGCCGGACGTTCGCTTTTCGTCCTCTCACTTTCGTAAACAACACCCCCGCCACGAGAAGGCAGTGAGTAGGACTTCCCTGGCAGAGGCTATATATTCGCTGGCCATATGAGAGCATTTCGAGAGGGAGAGGTGACTCTCCCCACTCTCGGCCGTACCAGGGCATTTGGGGGCTCCCACGATGAGAGAGCCCCATTTTATTCTTACCCTTTGTCTCCTTTCATGAAGAAAGTCACTTATCCAGTCTATGACTGCATAATGAGTTCCAAAACTTTCTAGTTTTAATTTAAGACCAGAATGGGAAACCTTATCAAAGGCTTTACTTAGATCTATGAAAATGACATCTACAGGAATATTGCGATCTTTTGCCTCAGCCCAATCTTCTCCTGCAATGAGAAGATTTGTCAAACATGATAGACCTTTTCGAAAACCATGTTGTTCCTTTGACAAAAGATTATGTCTTTCCACGTAGTTTATAACAGCCAACCTAATAATTTTTTCCATTAAATTTACAACTGCACTAGTTAAGCTGACGGGTCGATAGTTACTAACTAAATCCCTACTCCCAGCCTTATACACCGGACTGATTATTGCGTCTTTCCAGTCTTTGGGCAATCTGGACTGCTGCAGGGACATATCAAACAGTATCGCTAAGGGTTTAGCAATAACATCTGAGAGGGCTTTCATAAACCGAGGATGAATATCATCAGGACCCCTAGACTTATCAGGTTTGAGATGCTGAAGTAGCCTTAAAACAGTTTCTTTCTTGATAACTACAGGGTCCATCAACAAGTCGCCACAATCACAATGAATAGGTGATCGTTCTTCATTATTGGTAGAAAAAACTTTACTGAAATATTCCGAAAAAGCTTCCGCTTTTTCAGTATCATTTCTTGCCAAACTTAACGGATTTTCTTGTATCGAAAGTGATGGTATTCCATCACTTCTCTGAGTTCGCCTCTTTATATACGAGAAGAACCGTTTTGGATTATGTTTGCAATCCCTAACCAATTGTTTTTCGTATGACTGTCTAGTCCTACTAATTAACGCTTTACAAGTATTTCTAATCTTACAATAACTAGATCTGTACTGTTCTAAGCCAGTAGAGATAAACATGTTCCAGTGTTTTTTTCTACGCCTAAGAAGTTTCTTAATTTCTTTATTTATCCACGGTGGACTATTGTTCGGTCTACGTGGCACCAAGTATGGTATAAACGGGGACGTGACTGCACTAAACTTGCCTTTAAATACAGACCGCGCCTCGTCAACTGATGAGCTAGTATTTACTGACCAATCTATCTTAGTAGCACAATCCTGAATGGCTGGTATGTTAGCTCTCCATATGTTTGGGCGAGGCTTAATCTGATCGTATATCATATCGCTAGCTCTAAACGTGAATGATAAAACAGCGTGATCGCTATTTACTAACGGGAGAAGAATATTTAGGTTGGTAATATCCTCAGTCTCATGGGTAATTACCAAGTCCAACAGAGAAGAACCTTGGTTTACACCAAAACGTGTAGGTTTGGATACATGTTGTACTAATGCATGTTCCATTACTGTTTCCAAGAGCCTGATATCAAATGAGTTTATAGAGCATTTCGTGGTCATCTCAGTCCAACTAATGTCAGGTGCATTAAAGTCTCCTAATATCAAGCATCTGTTATTTGCACTCCATAGCCGAATATGCTCTAAAATAAAGTCATCAGCTAAGCAGGTTGGGCTGCGATAGATGACACCGAGTGCAAATGTACAACATCCGACAGTGAGCTCACAGCTAATGACTTCACTAGTTCCACTATCATGGAATTCGCAAACGGAGGAGCGGATATTTATACTATTGGCTATGTATAGAAGGACGCCACCTCCTTTCCTGCATCTATGTCTATCACTTCTTAAACAATGATATCCGGATAATTCTGGGGTGAAATCGAAGTCATGGACTAACCAAGTTTCCGTCACAGCTACAATGAGTGGCCTTAATTTGTCCACTAATGCTCCTAGCTCGTAGAATTTATGTCTTAGACTATGGGCGTTGGCATATAAAACTCCTAGGGAGAACGACCTATCCACACAGGCCTTGGTAGCATTCGCTTCCAAGACCTGACTTTTCGAAAACCCACCAATCGGAGATTTTCTTCACCGTTCTGTAGACGGGTTTCTAGTTCAGCTAGTGCCGTCTTCCTTTTTATTCTATCTTCAAGAGACACATCTGGTCTAATTCGAATGTCAGAGTTGTCGTGACTTCGAGCGTTACTTAACAGAAGATTACGTTGTTTCTCCGACCCTAAGATTACCTTAAGGAGTCTACACGGTCGGGGTAGAACACTTTCATGGGCCCTTTTACCTATTCTAACTAATTTTTTGACCTGAACACCTTTAGTGTTATCTGGTAATATGCTACGGATATATTCTCCGAGCCTCTCTAAGTCATGGGTGTGTCTAACCTTAGGATCTGGATCGTTAGACTCTGACAATTTACTCACAATAATATTCGATGATATTAAATTCCTCTCAGTCGCACTAGGATGATGTTCTGTCGTTCTATCAGAGTGCGATAGTGCATTGAGTGACTCAGAATTTGAGTTCCTCAATGACTTGTCAACCAAGTGTGCTTTAATTTTAGCTTTTTTTCCTTTTCCTCCTTACTGCGGTCCATTTTTCGTCATTCAGTACAGCTACATCGGGATTATTGGGGACGGTGACGGTTCTATCCGGGTCCGCAATTTGTACTAAAGATGCATGATTACTCATGTCAATACCATGTGGTGATTTACTCCTCGTTTGTTGTAACGGAAGTTTCACTTTGTCATTAATTAGAGTAGGTTGTTCAGCGCGTTTTGTAACAGCACTTACAACACTGACACAGTCTTCACTGTCAGTACTTGCGTTACTAGCGCATCCACTATCGTTCTTTTTACAGGCTAGAGCCAATAGGCTCATAGTCTCCTGGATTAATGTCGTCTTGTTAGTACAACAGAACGTACAAAGCCAGTGCGAGTTAGGCTTAGAACATCTTTTGTATGCAGCTGGATTGAGACGGGTACACATCTTGTGGAACCATTTTTTGCATTCATCACACTGCATCCCTTCATCTACAGGGAATAAACAGTTCGGCTGTCCACATTTGAATGAACTGCCAACCATTGTAATCAGATTAGGTTTAAAACACAATAATAACACAAGCGTCAGAGTATATTCCTGTTCAACACCTCCAACCACCATCTTACCTCAATATATGCAAAAGAAGGAACCACGAGACAAAGTTTTCAATAAAATTTCAAACCCTGACTGAATTAATTCAAGTTAAAGTAGACTAAGAATGCTTTTGGTGCAACAAATACACAAAAGCAACGATAATCACAACAAGTATGAAAGTCACTGCCCTTTTTGAAACGCGCGCGTCTGTTCCACTTATACTTCAAGTTCTTAAGATTACGTTGACTGATAATAGACACTGCTTTCATATATTTGTTTTCTCTTCGTTAATGTCAAACATATTACAAATGTTGGTTTTTTCTTGTGATGTGTAATCTTAATCATAATTCTGTATGTTTTTGGGGGTAATGTCATTATATTAGTGTGTATTCTGTTTCCAAGTCGTATGTTTTTCCCTTAACGGGTGGCGTTTAGTGCGTGAAACTAGCTAGTTGGTTGTGTTTAAGTATGCAAGGTATCGTGCAATATGTGTAGCTTGAACGCATATTTTTACAAAACATATACGACTGAAGATTACGAAGTACAATGGTTTAGAATTAATAAGCTGTCCCAACCTCTTTGCACAACGATATTAGTACGCCTCATGAGCTTCAAATGGTATTCACCTAGTAAAGCTTAGGCTTTCCAAGGTTTCGTACTTGAAGAACAGGCTTCAAAATATTGGTATTTTGTTAGGTTCATGCACAATAAAGCAGTATTGTCAATCCATTTCATGACTCAAATTTGGTTTAGGTGAGATGTTTTGCATGACGTAAATCATTTTGGACTTTTTTTGCTCTTCTGTTTCAAAATTGTCTCAAGTCGATTGTTAGACGTTCATTTTTGGTTGCATGTTATTGTTTCATAATTTATCCACTCAAAGTTGGCTTTCATACCACATATACTTCGGTAGTATTGCGCGTGAGAATTTAAATTTGCAGTTATTTAAGCTTCTCTGTCGCATCTTCTCAATCGGTTACTAATTCGTCTTTCATAATCACTGATAATTCTGATTGACGTCGAACCTTACTGATCTCCTATCTACACGTTGTAATAACCATGTATTACTTATCCTACCTTAACGCCGATTTACGATATTTATATCGTTTGCCCTCACATGCTAAATTGAATTTTTTTCAGTTGATGTTAACCTATACCACTGAAGTTCCTGGAGAACGTGAAGAAACATCTTTAAAGTGGGCCAAATTACTTTCAGTGCACGATTCATTCATGCATGAACTTTCTCAGGAAGTAATTACTATCGGGTCATCTGAAGGTCGTTTTCCATTCTTTTTAATCATTTCTAATAATTTTGTATTCATTATTCAGAATGTCTGATTGTTATAAAACATGAAGAAATTTCAAATCCACATTGCCTTTTGATGAAAGATCCAGATGATGTCATATGGTTGCACGATTGTAGCAAAACTGGGACACGTTGTAATGATGGCAAGTGGTTACAGCAAGATTGTGTCACGCTTCGTACTGGTGACTATTTCTACCTTTTATGGGATGAAGTAGATGTGACGAAGAGTAGGTTTATTTATACTGTAGGAGAATAACATTTATGTGCTTGTTTTTTAAGGAGTTGGATTTTGCGTTCTTTTCGTTGATGATTTTAAACTTTTGGCTTTGTCTGGTGAGTCTGATAAGATCAAAACTACGGGACTACCGCTACAACCATCATCAACAAAGTTTATGAAGCCATCAACATCAAATGATGACACTGATTTAGAAAATTGCTTAACATGTGTTATTTGTGGAGATATCTATTTTGAGTGTTGTAGGTACGTCGACTATACTTGCCCGTATGATATGTCGTTTTTTCCAACACATTAGTGTTCAACCATGTTTACACAGTTTCTGCACACTCTGTTGGTTGAGATGTAAAAGAAATGAATGTCCTATGGTAAGTCAGACTGTATTATTTCCTTGATTACTTTCTATTCCCATTATGTTTGTTTTAAGTGTCGTAAATCAGTGTCAGCTTATGCTAAAAATCACCAATTGAATAATTTAGTTGATGTATTCCTTCGTAAACATCCAGGTAAGAATTCTTACTTTTGATGATGTGTATATCTTATCACCATTATTTTATTTATAGAGAAGTTAAAATCTGAATCGGAACAAAATGACATAAAACAAGAAATTGCAAGATTATCACGCGTAAGCGCATAATATATTATGTAACTTTTAAAATTAAATTATATTAGCTTTCAAATCACACTCGTCGATACAATAGTCGAACTAGAAGGTATGTGTATGTATGAAAGAGTGAGAGAATAAATTTGTTTGTTTATGTTTTCCTATATATCACCATATTTTTAATTAGTTTTGTTTATCGAAACTAAATGCACTTATGAAGTTATTTGGAGTGTAATTGTGTTTATGATACATTTCTCCCTAAATCCCGGATGTCCATTGGGAACTGCTCTTAGTCATTATCTTGACTAATCATACGACACAAAGTTGTTGGGTGCGTTGACTTTGCTTAACTATGAACTCATCAACTCTGATTCTTTGGTTTTCTGACAATATTTCTGCAAGGATTCAAAACACTACTTTATCTTCTACCAGTTTTCACCACCTATGATGTAGATAAAATCGCCATCGGTGAGGATACTGTTCAGTTGTCCAATTTAGGTGGCTCTAATCTTTCGAGTGGAGCTCTTAAACTTTGAGTACATTAGTAGGCTATCAGTATTTTACCATATGGTCTCTTCGAAATACTAGTGTCATATGATGGAACAGCACAGCGAGAAACAGTGTAATGAGTGAGTTGATGGGATTATGTGTTTTCATCTAGTGAGATAAGTGAGACATTTACTACATATCCCTGAATACTGCATTAATCGACAGTGACTTGCGCGGGAGTAGGTTAGAGGAAAGCTAGGGGCGGGTAAACCAAAACATTACATCACTGCAGAAAGTTATTTAGTGTTGGACTGAGCCACGTTTGTCGGTACAAACTAATACAATTAATTTATAGTCCGCATAGTTATTTTGATTAATTGTTGGACGGTTTCTGTGATAGGACTCTCAAATTGGTCACATTGGTGCAAATCTGTTTATTTCTCATCTTCTAATTGTTTATTTTTAGTGTTATTTCATGCGTTTTGTTTCTTGATTTCACTCCTTCCTTTTGAACCATAAGCTGTATACTTGGTTTCTTTCATACCATTATTGGTACTACCATTTTTTCGACTTACTTGCTTTCACTCCGTTAATTTCATCCTCTTATGCTAATATGGTGCGGTAATTTGTACTGATGCTTATTTATGTCTGGTCTTACATTGATCATGACCAATTTTGATCACTGAAGACAATAAATTTCATTTATTAGTTAAATTTCTTATCTCTTCGCCTCTTTTTCTTCATATTATATCGATTTCTTTTAGAAACAGAGAGAGAATTACTTTTACTGGTGGTGACTATGGTTTACTGCGTAGTTCTTCTGGCATCTTTCCTATTGTTCCAACCGTTGCTACCACCACAACAACTCACAATGTTTCTACTGGTCCGATAATTATGCCCACTTCTCTACCGATGAGTGCTGGTTGTGTTATATGTTCATGGTTACCACCATCATATGACCGTCGTGGCAATAGTACGACAAGTATTAGTGGCATTACTCTTAGCGACCATGGACCAAGAATTGAAGAATGTAAGTTTATTTCGGTATAAATACATAATATGTATGTTTATGGTTGTTAGGTGACAACCTTTTTTTGAATTTTTAGTATTACAAATCAACAGTTTCCACATTAAACTTAGAAATTCAAGCTTATCTACAAACGTATTCACATGATATTATGATACATACTTAAGTCTGTAATGTGTAGTATTTTCAACTCGTTAAACGCTGTTAAGAGGCATGGTAGTGGTTGTCGTTTCACAAGTTTTCCACACTGTAGTACTTGAAAAGGATTCTGAGTTAGTAGTGACTTTGTTCACCTAGCATATCTCTCTTCCTTCCTGTACTTTATCCTTATATACAACCTATAATTTATATACTACTACCAACACTAAATTAACTACTATGAATCCGGTGTTCATCTTGTTGTGCTAACGAGGTATGGCAACTTGGACCGATGCATAAATGTGCCTGGTCCTACGTTGTAGCTGACTGACTGACTGACTTGTTCACCTAGAAGTACGGTCTCAGATCCAAAGGGCAGCTGGTTGGAGCTGGTAACATGACTTTTCTTAATTGTTTTTATTGTGTTATCGCCATACTTTTGAGGCGTTACTACCGGTATCGGAAATCAATGGGACAAGGTAAGGTGTATTTCTTTTAGAACCTATATTTTCTAGACCCCTTCTCTGTGGGAAAGAAGGGTTGTTAATGATAATAATTATCTACGGGAAAAACATCAGTACCATTCAACCTCAGTATAGCTGGTGTTACGACTTTTCTCTTAGATCTTAAATTCACTACTTTTAATCCTACTCCTTCCAGGCCGACTTACATGAGAAGGGAAAACCTTATGGAACAAGTGTTCCAACCATTATAACTTGGTTATATTGTCACAATAAGCTGTTTGATTATAATTACTATTATATATGGGGGTGAATACTGAAAGCTGAGAACAATTGCTTTCTAGTTAATAATTTGAAAATTCTTGATGATTTAGGGTAAAGTACCAATCAAAAATTAATATTTGCACTAACTAACGACTGAAAGTTAACCTGTTATACTTGTTTGATCCTTTGTTCTAATTAATTAATTGATCAATTAGTTGAAATATGACTACTTCTCTAAATGAACCAACATTATGCGCACTAGTGCCTTAGTCTGATGCAATGTTTGGTCAGGACTCATCAGCGGCGAACCTTATCTGTACTTTCTTGGGAATCGGTACTTTGGTGAATTTCTTTAGTGAGCCTTCGGAAAGCAGTGGTTAAAACCGAAGCTTCATATGGTATGTCTCTGTCTCCTGTTTTCTATTCACTTATGCTTTGATGCTTAATTCCGCGATCAAATATATTTAGTCATCCATTTTAGTCTAGTAATCGTGCGACTAGTAGTCTTTACGATACTTCATTACCCATTTCTTCCGCTTTAAAGTACTTTTAATTCTTCAAATAGTGGAAAAGACTCTACATCAGATTTCTGACAGCCACCCAACAAATATTGAAATGCAATGGGAAATCGTCATAAATTATCCAAATGTTGTGTGAATGCTCATTTGTTCAGATGTAGGTTGTGTTGAGAACATAAACTAATCATTTTTAAGTCTTTTTTATTTGTCCTAAGTTCACTCATAATCAAGCCATGTTACTGATGGCGTACTGGCCAATATGCGCTTTTAACGTACAGGTACTAAAACAGATTAAGACAACTGTATATTACCTCCATAGTGTTGTCTCATAACACCATTTCGTCGATTCTCCAGTGATTTTTATCACAAAGGTTGTAATGGAGATTGGTGCTATTTGATAATTTTCACTTGACTATTTATGACTTTATAAGGAATTTGTGGAGAAACTGATTGAACTATGATGGATAAGGAGCTTTACATGAATTCAGTTTTTGGTTTTATGTTTTCAGACTTCCTAAACTATTTGAAAACTCTGTAGGAATGGATTTATATTTCATTAGCTGCTCTAGCAACATATATTCAACTGAGATAATCTGCGATCCTCATTGGCTGATTGACAACATAAAAATTTCGAAATTATTTCTGGTTTGCTGATCCAAAGTTGGTAATATAGATTACAGAATAGTACAGAGATGACTTAATCAGAATTGAGTAAATGACTCTTGTGTTGTTTGTGAAATATTAAGAAGAAAATAGAATGACTTATCTTAAAACGTAAGACAACCAGAATAAATACTTTTGTACAGTACTAAGAACGTCTAAAATTATGTTGGATAATAATGTTTTCTCCTTCATAGAGTAAAGCTAATAACATTAAACTTATCGGCGAGACTATTATTTATGGACGAGCCAATCAGAAGCGTTTGAGGAATTTCAAGGTCACGGCGCCTATTTCAGTTGCTGATGCTCATGTACGATCGGTTCACAGAGAATTTTAGAGAAGACTTGACAATTAAGCAGCTACAACTAATGAGACTACTAAGAAGTTCCTGTGTTTGTGATTGCGGGTATTAAATGAGTTGTATACCTTGTGCAGACTAACGTGATATTGACCTTCGATGTAATATATGTTGAAGAAAGATGTTTGCTAGCGTAGAAACCTTTATTGCTCGATCCAGATTGAAACTAAGGCATATTATAATAATTGCCGCCAACTGTATAATAAAAGCACTAGTAACATTGGCTGCAATAATCGCGGATGTTACTAAAGCTTCGGCTGTTCAGTGGCATGAGTATTGTAGGGACATATCCATAATAAAAATGATAAATTTACACACCTGGAGTACACACAAACAATTTTGAAGCTATGTGTTCTCGGCTGAGATGGTTTTTGTGACCTTATCATGGTTCCAGAGATCAACTATTATGGAGCCATATAGATGAGTTCCTCTACCTTATGCATTACGATTTTGGGACCTTTGAACCTTTTTCTGACCTTGACACGTTTTTGGACCATATGGAAGAAGTGTATCCACTTTAATTCCTTGGTTTTGTATAATATATTTTTACTGTTTACTGATTGGCTGACATTTCTTGAGGTCACTTAAGATTCTTTCAAAGGTCGTTCATAAATAATGATCTCTCCAACTTATCAAATGCTCAATTCTTTCTATGTAGATTGTATATAACATACAAATCAACCCTAACTCTAAATTTATAATCCTAATTGTAATCAGAAAGTTTGGGAAACTCCTAAAAAGACTATTTTCATCCTTATATATAGGTCCAAGTAGATGAATATTCTATAGCCATATGGATAACTTTTTCGGCCAACAGACATAAAACTCTATAGAGGACTTCAATAGATTCATGAATTATATAAAATCTTTATGGTATTATTGTTTGTCATAAAATATTCATTTACAATAACTTAATTGGTAAGTGTTTGAATTATCATGTTGTTAATATTAAAAACTGAATTTCGATCAGTTCTGGCTAGCATATGTGCTTTCAATGAGAATTATCATGATTTAGCCATTCTTCTCAAGTTATGTAGAATAGATGAATTGTCGCTATCAAAGGAATCATGAAAGCTTGTCAGTTGGGATATATCTCCATCTTCGACTCGAACTCAGTATCGATCATTTCAAACGTCAATGCATAGTCCGCTAAGATACCGAATTCAGATACCTACTAGCTTGTTCGGTGGGCATGTTTTCAGTTTTAGTTACAATTCACCTGTTATAAATAATTTGTGACAATGTATCGAGGCGATCCGCGTAAAATGCACATAGACTAACAAGAATTGATCAATAGATAGTCAAGAATATCAAAAAACGGGGTAGAGCAAACCCTTATTGATAAAGATATAGACACTATATCCGTTGGACAAGTAAGTGGCTACGTGAATCTAGTGAATAATGTGTTCGTTTTTAAAACGAAAGTTACTGTTGTAGTGTCGGTTACTATATTAAGCCCACATAACTTATTCTGGCTTCTGGACAGGCCAATTTATCCATCCTTTTTGGGTCACGTTTTGATCTTGTTAATTATTCACTTATCAACCCTAAGCGTATGTGTGTGTATATCTTATCTTACTCACCACATATCTATAGTTCATTTTTGTGTGAATATAAATATAGATTAACGCTTGATTAAATAGTGTTGGCTCACACGCCTTCTCACCGCGCATTACTCTGTTTCGTTTCGTACCTTTGATCGTCTGCCTGGATCAATGATTGTACAAAATATGCGTATTCAAAATCCTTTCTCGTATTCGACTTGTTTTAATTCCGTTATTCACTAACGCAAGTTAAGTCAACAATTATATACTAGAATTGGCTACATATATATTTCGACATGTATATCTCAATAACAATCAATCATACGATCCAACTGGACTCAGATCCCAGGCCACAAAAGTGGTGAGCCCGTCGACAACATCAATCGATCTAATCAACGTCAAAATGTAGGGACCCACTAAATTGGTCAGCCCGACGTGATAATCGACTTCAGATTGGATGAGAGCGTTTATCATCGTTCTGGGTAACGCATCTGCCACTTCGTTATTACTGCCTTATATTAATCATTTTGCTCTTCTATTTGGTACGCAACATTACGCCTCAACATACACAAGGGAAAATGCAAGATCCTGTAAAACAACGAAACGAGCACCAATTCAATCACATTTGATGAAGGGACTATGGAAGAGGTGGAAATTTTTACTTACTTGGTCAGCATCATCAATAAACAAGGATGATCTGGTGCAGATGTAAAGGGATGCATTGACAAAGCAAGGGCAACACTCTTACAATTGAGTAATATATGGAACTCAAAACGACTTTCAACCAACACCAAAGCCAGAATTTGCAATATAAACGTCAAGACAGTTAGTTCTTTTGTACGGAGCTGACACTTGAAGAACGGCTAAAACCATCGTTAAAATTGTAAACGTATTTCTATACAGTTGTTTACGCAAGATACTTAATGTCCGTTGGTCTGATACCATTAACAACAACCTACAATGGGAGAGAAAAAGTCAGTTTCCATGTAGAGAGAAAATTAAGAATGAATGCTGGAGGTGGATAGGACATACATCTTAGAAATCATCAAACTTCATCACGAGGCAAGCCCTAACTTAGAATCCTGATGACAAAAAAGAGTTGTTGACCAGTGCATACATTGTGCCGAGAATTGAAGGTAGACATCAAGAGAATAAACAGAACGTGAAGAAACCAGAAAGGGGGCCTAGGACAGAGTTGTTTGGAGAACACTAAATGGCGCTCTATGCTCCCACTAGGAGTAACAGGTGTAATTAAGTAAATAATGTATAAGCATATTATTTTCACCGCAGGAAAAGTCTGTGTTGCTGCTGGTCAGTTGTATCACCTCTCAATAGCAGTTTTTTCAGATTATATGCTTATAATTCGGTCTTTGGAAGTGTTTGTCAATTAACCACATAACGTAATATGTATCAACCAATATTCTATTCATCATCATATCCAATTCTGATTATTATGATTATTATTTTGCTCATTCTTTCTATAATTGAATTTATTATTTTTCTTTAGGCTCAGCACATTGTTATTGTACATGTTGTAATAGACCAATGCCAATTCGAACAACAACAATTCCACAACTACATGGTATAAATCGAACAGAATGTGAAGTGTGCCGGCGTACATTTTGTTCTTTAATCAATCCATATGGATGCTCAACATGTGATGGTTATTGTTTATCTCGTGTACAAGGTGAGTAGTTACGTGTCCACTAGTGAACGTTGTACCAAGTTGGTACATATGGTTATCAGCTTAGAAAGGGTTAATTGGTAATAATATTGATGTTAGTAGCGAATAGATGCAGAGAATTATACGTAAAAGTTCTATTTTTATCATTGTTTACATTACAGATCAGTTTCTATTGGTATATGTGTCTCCTGACAGAACGGAGCCAACTTGGGCTTTTAATAAATTTAGGTTGTGGCTTGTGATGGAATCCAAGATTCATATTTTGTCTTTTTTGGGACTTGCCAGCTAGTAATTAAGGGCCATATTGGAGCAGTTCGCTCAAGATAGACATATGTTACTAGAGACTGTCATTATTAACAAAATGAAAATATCAAACTCTTACATGTAATTTAACAACCGTCGAACGAGTTAGTGATCATCTGAAACAAGTATTTTAGTGAGTAGCTCATTGCAGTGATAGGTATTGGGTTCATGTCTAAGTGTGAACGTCAGTTCTATGATCCAGGTACATCTAAATGGCAATTTCTAAACAAAACAAAACTCATTTCCTGGTTTCCTCCGTAAGCCAAAATTAAAATGAAGAATATAGTTTGAGAATAAATAATAAGATGAGAGTTTTGAAGTGAAGATCGAATGCATCTAGGCCAGCGCTATAAATCTAAGTTCATTACAATTAGAATTTCAAATCATAGCTGATGATCATTGCACGAAATTCAATCAGGACGTTCGTCCCTCCTGAAACTGCTTGGATCATTAATCAAGAACTTTATGGGCGGATGTTGTTATAATGTAACTTAACCTCTCTTAATCTCCATCCAATCTGCTTCTAAACTGTTGTGATAGCTCCCGAAAAGCTAGCGAAACCTCCGGGAGGTATAAGGAAGCCTAAGAGATCACACCCAATCAGAACCGAACTTTCTAGAATATCAACGTGGTATACTATGATTGGACAGTCATGTAACTTCCTACTTTCTGATTGGCCGGATTATAATGTTGTAGTCTATACTAAAAACTACAAATACCCCTTTTTTCTGTACACTTTTGACACTCAATAACCGCTTCTCCTACTTTCTTCCGTCTTTTGATTCGCGACTGTGGGTTTCTTCTTGTTGGAGTTCCGATAGCCATAATCAAGTAGAGGACATAACATAAACTAGCCTTTGTTGCTTTTTCGAGTATGTGTTGGTGGTTGAGCATATGTAATAAATGTTTCAGTTGTCCCAAACATCTCAATCAAGTAATGTTTTTATACGCAACGTATGTCTAACCTTAACATTGCTTACTTGATCTTCTTATCTTACAACCTGGTTGTCTGTCAAAACATCTATCATCTAGTGTTCACAATGCTTATGTATTTTCTAACTTCCACCTAAGTAGGTCCAAGGTTTAAACCCCAATAGCCCTCACCCCCCCCCTGAAGTGTGTGGTTCAAATCCGATTACATAAGTCTGCACTACTACTTGATAGATGAAATGTCTTAATCATCTATTTGGCTGATGAACAAAATTTCACCAGTTGAATTCTTTTTCTTGATATTCCATTTATTGGATAATATTTTTGAATGACTTCTTTGTTGATATCTGTCTTGAATATTTCAGATTTGACTCGATACAATTCAATACCTCGTAATTTATTATTGAATAATCGTATAGAGACAAGAATTCTTGATGTAAGTTGTTTATATTGAATGAAAGAATTCTACAGTCTTTTTCTTCCATGTGTATTCGATAACTTAATGCATGATTTGCACTTCATTACGAGGTCTATTGAGTTCTAAAAGTTACATATGTATGTTTATTTTTTTGCGATAAGTATTCGATCACTAATGCATCCTCTTAAAACTTGATCAATCCAAGTATAGATCAGGTGAAGACGAAGACTGTGCATACAGCTGTATTGTCGAATGATACTTACCGTTCATGCACGTGTATTAGTAACCAGAATGGCCCTAGTAACAAGGTCAATAATCCATTTTACTCAAAATAACTTACTCTTACATGTTCCTTACCTACCTTCGGTTATCGTGTAATTTGTCCTATTTGGTTAAACAGTATGTAACCACTGTTGCTACAGTGGATTTGTTCCATTTGCCAACCTTTTCCTTCACAGTTCTAGAAACATAAAATCAACTCCATCGTTTTTACAAGTGGAACCTCAATGTTTTTGATTCATGTGAAGGGAATTTATGTGTTAAATTTAATACTGTCTCTGGATCAGTTCTTCGGATGACAAACGTTGATTGCTGCTTCTCAAGCATTTTGTCACTTTCTCATATCAAGTACTATATCTAGTCTTTATGAAGTTTTTCATTCTACATTTTTGAACGTAAAATATTCAAGACTGAAAGATATGATATGATGACCTAGGCCTTAGATAGTTGAAGTACAAATAATGTGGAATTGTGATTCTCCAATCGCTTATAGTATGTGACGACTTTTTAAGAAGGAAAAATCATATTATTTTTATCTGTTGGTTATAAACAGCTATCAGTATAGGATTGTTGAGTTTCTTTGAGATCATAGACTGATATTTTTGAACTTTTGGAAACTCGAAAGCACCGAAAATCCGTTCCATTCTAACACGGAACTCCTCAGCAACGTGCATCCCAGATCCCGCACACAGGACTCCAATCAAGAACCCTTGATTTCGCCCTCGAACTCTTAACAGTGTAATAATATTGCAAATACATGTTCATACAATAAGCTATTGATTAATTAACGTCACGTACTACTCAGTTTGATGTATATAAACCTAACTGTTAATCAGTACGAACTATATAAAACTCAGTGTATTCTGATATTCATTTTAATTTATTTTGGTTGTCAAATAAATCTTCATCTATCGTCCTGATTTTCGTATTTGCGACGTACGTTTCACGAGTTTGATCATTCAGTAGCAGTTACCTGCCGTTACAACAATAGTCGTTGAGTATTTTGGGAAGTAAAATAAATCTTTTACTGAAGTCAATTTTCGTGTTCTTATTTGCATCGTGAAAACTGCGTATAAATCAATTGTTGGTCACCGGCTACCATGGGACTGCATCACCTCACGATGCTCCACTGTCTTGTGGATCAGACCTTTAGGTCGAAGGCTCCAGGTGTGGTCCCCTAAGATAACCACCCGCTTCAGTTTGGGCACCTGGACAGTATCACAGCCCTCACACAAATCGAATGAGACTTGTGTGGCGCATATGTATCTGGTGCCCCTTTGTACCAATATTTATGTGTTGAAATAAAATAAAATGTTCATTTAATATCATGTAGTGTTACCTTAGATTGTTTAAAGCTATAATATATCCATTTAAATTATATCTAATGCGTGTCAATGATTAGAAGCGACTTCACTTATTTGATTGACTTCTAATATACTGATTCATTCAGTATCAGGATATTAGCATGACAATAAACAAAACTGTAAAACAAACTAAAGTAATTCAGAGAAATATCTGGCTACATTGCAAATTATCATTTTTGACGTAATATCTGAAAATGTACTGAATTCGATATAGTGTAAATTACCTTAATAATGTACATGCTTTGTGAAATCACCCAACTTACTAATCTTTTGGAGCTAGATTTCACCATATATTGAACTCAGTTTGTATACCATAAATCGATTATAGTTAGATCTGTGTACTGTCAGATGCCAACTCAACGATCTAGAGGTTGACCACTGACTTTGAGCATTGAGGTCCCATTCCCTGGTTGGGTCGTTGATGCACACTTTTGAAAAGTCTCACAATGTAAATAAATAGACAAGATGGTGGTTGAAGGCGGTCAATAGGAAACCCTGGATCCGGGTTTCGTGCTACTTAGTACTCGTCAGTAAGGTGTACCTGTAATCTTGACGGAACTGATGCTCCCTAACGGATTCGATCCCATGTCACTCAGCTTCACAGTCAGAGACGTTACCATTGAGCTACTCGTGCCGCGATCGACCTCCTGTAGGACTGAGACGTAATCACAATTAGTTGATCACTGGGTGGTGATCAATGTCACCTAGACTAGTGGCCACATTGCAACTTGATCGATAGCCTTCGATGGTCAACACTAAGAAGGACTTGACACGCATGACATTGATCACCACCCAGTGATCAATCAATTTTGAAATAAACAGACTGTTCAACACTTCCTAGTTTTCAATGATATCCCATCTAAGGTCAATCTTTGATAAATACCACCCTTGGATAAAACTTCTTCCAAAGAAACTTTCATTTTCTATTTCTTTTTCTTAGGATTATCTTACATCAAAAGGTGTTACAATTCCAACATTTATTAATCATTGTTTAACATTCTATATGAATACAACAACAATTTCTTCATTATGTACATTAAATGGTAATTCATTAATATGTAAACATTGTGGTGAACGTTTACTTAGTCAATTAGCTTATCAATATCGTTTAACTATATGTTCAAATGAATTACCAAATGATGTAATCAATAAACCAAATTGCTATTATGGACGTTATTGTCGTTATCAAAGTTATAATTATAATCATGCTAGACGTTTTAATCATATTTGTGAAAGATCAATTTAATGAGATTTTTTGGATTCTTTCATTATTCTACTACTACTAATTTTGCCAGTAGTAGTTATGAGTAGTATATAGAGTTTGTTTTGTTGTTTTTTTTTTCGTTTTTGATTTATTAATCGATTTGACAATCTATTTACTTTATTGAAAACTTTTGCATTTACTTTATAATCGAATCATAGAGACTGATTATGTAATCACTATTTTGTTTTTTTTCTCCTTTTGTTTATTTTTTTTGTTCCCTTGAAAAACAAAATTTGTTTATCAGGATTGTTATAATTTCTATTAAATAAACCCAATATTCATTATTTCAATGTGTATGTATTTTTTGGATATATCTGTCCATTTTGTAAACAACGAACCAATAGGTACACGTAGTTGCTGTGCCTCCAAAATGCCCTGGTACGGCCGAGAGTGGGGAGGGGCCACCCTCCATCTCGAAATGCTCTCACATTGCCACGCGTATATAGCCTCTGCCAGGGAAGTCCTACTCACTGTCTTCTCGTGACACTACTGTTGTTTACGAAATTGAGAGGACGAAAAGCGAATGTCCGGTAGCGTCTTTAACCGGGTTGGTGGACACGGAAAGTCCACCTAGGGGAGTTGGAAAACCCTGATTCCAAACCAATGGTGCACATGGGCTCCAGTATCCTGAGGGAACAAATGGCGTATGAATCAGTCGTTGATCATCAACTACCATGAGACTGCATCTCCTTATGATGCTCCGCTGCCTTGTCGATCAGATTTTTAGGTCAAAAGGCTCCGGGTGTGGTCCCCTAAGAAAACCACCTGCTTCAGTTTGGGTACATAGGCCACAAGTGAGATTTGTGTGGCGCATATGTATCTGGTACCCATTTGTACCAATATTTATATGTTTAAATAAAATGTAGTTTCTGTAGACTGTTTTTTTCTTTTGAATTTATAATTAAAACCTTCAAAATAAGCATAATGTATGCGAAAATACGAACTAATTGATGATAATCTCAAACTCCAATCGTTTGCACACAATAATTACCTAGTGGTTATTAATAATAGTAATGAATAGTAACTATACGTCTGTTTGATAGTCTGCCTAATGGCTTGTGCGGACTCAAAATTCCTGTTAATAAATAGACCTAGACCAGGGTAAATACATTGACGTGCACTATTGAAATCTGTAAAAAAGGTTGTTTATGAACGGTGAATTCTGTATGACAATATGAAAAAACTGTACAAAGCAGTGTACAGCGAATCGGTAAATATAATTACAAATGTAATAAAATATATCTGAAGGACTCTTCACTCAGCAATTGCAGTCATTGTTACAGTAATGTTGTAGTATCAGATAGGGATACTAAGCAATTAAACATTAGGAATTGATATCACTTACTTGGGGAAGGGTAGAGATGATCCTGACAACCCAAAAGTAGTGTTCCAACCGAAAAAGGGGAAAATAACAACATGTAGATCGCTGTGATGTGATCCGTTAACTGTTCAAAACAGTAGACTTTCTTAACACCGTGAAAATCAAATATCCCATCGGGGATAGTTCTAGTCAACTGAATTAATCGAAAGAACGATTTCCCACTATGGCAGCTATCAGAATTCGAGATCTGAAATAAAACTTGGGTGAAACGGATAAATCTTCTAATTGAACGCTAGATTCGGTTTCCTAAGCTGTTTTAGTAACCCTCAGCAAATTGTACACTAGTGAAATATAGAAGAAGCTCTCTACGTACGGAAAATCTAGGGTATCAATAGCATTTTTGATGGCTTTTAACTTCGAAAAGTTCTGGAACGCCACTAAACATAGTAGCAGTATAGGTAGTCACCCAATCAGAAACGTGTTATGTGGTTTTTCACTTTTTAGATGTTTCTGGTGAAACTATTGAATTCTGATTGCATACAATGTCTTTCAAAACTCTTTTTTAAAGGAATTCTCTCGGTCTGCCCACAGACACAATGATCTAAACCTTAAAAACTTATCAGTGTTGACCACTTCGAAAATTGCAAATAAGCTGGTAAGAATAACTACAAATTAACCGAAAGATAAAATGTGTAGGTACAATCGGTAATATAAGAAGCGGTACATTTAAAGAAAAAATAAAGGAACAAGCAAAGGAAACTTTCTCATGTATTCTTATAGGCGCATACAAATGGATTCTTCATCAACCACACAACAGTTGAAGTCACCTGAATCTGACTGAGTGATAAAGGGCAGAAACAAAGGATGCTGATAGTTAAAATGCACAACATTTGTCAATAAACCCGAATCGTGAGAAGATTGGATACCTGAAAGCGTTTTTGTGACGTTCCGTGGATGTTTTTATCGATTAACTTTCTTCTTGCAACTGTAATACGCTATAAGGTTGATGACATATATGACTACAGTAAAACTGAGGATCGGAGAACTAGGAGAGCTTCAGGAGATCGTCCAGCCTCCCCACGTTATTAGGAGATCTTACGCATATGAATCGCCTTTTCCCAACAGATGTTTCGCCCTACGGATGACTTTTTTGTTCACGTACTGCATCATTTGTCCATTGACGACTTCCCTTACCCGTGACAGCATCGGCAGTAATGCTTACGATCTATGCGAGGCAGGATCTATGATATCTTCTCCTTTGCAGAATGAAGAGAACGTTTACAGTCTCCATCCTATTGGAAGTATACGTTGCTCTAGGAATTGCTTGAATAGATTACACACTATTGAAGCGATTGCTCCTACACACTGTTTCAGAACTAGAGCGTGGATACTCTCACATCTTGATGACTTTCCTCGGGGCAGGGATTTTAGTTTTCTAGTACTAACCCAGAAGTTAGTTGGATACTACCCAAGCGACCAGTTGGCACCAGGGTTAAGGAGTGTTCCGTGCTTGTAGCATTCTGGTTTAACTGGTCGTCAAGCTTGACATTAAGGATTTCTCCCATTCTAATTTGATAGAATTTCCGCTATCTTGCCTTTCAAGATCACAAATATCCTGGCCTATATGTTTGTGGAATCATAGTCCACTTAGGTTTTAGAACATTTATCTGTTACTATTATAAAAGACCTTACCTCGAAATTGTAGACTTTTTATGTTATGACTACCTAATCCATATGATCTTACGTGCAGGTGACATCACTGCCTATTCTGACTCGTCTTATCGTGCGATCAGCAATACGATGTATAACACTTCTGAAGAATACATTTGGGCTGGCGATAGAATAATGTTTTAGTGTGAATAGGGATTCGTTACCCCATGATCTAGCCATGCCATCTCGATTAGTTATTTCCGCGTCCACCATTGCTGACCTTTCCTTGTTAAATGTTGAACATAAATTTCCATAATTATCTCATGTTCATCTTCGAGGACCGTGTGGTTAGAACTAATATCACTACAGATTTTCTTTTAGTTATGGATCTGTAGCGATATTTATGATAAGCTTGTATTTTGGCTGCTCCTATAGCTTTAGGTTTTGCATTGTATCTGTTTTTCGATGCCAAGCAAGAGCTGCAATCATAATACTTCAGAGAGAGAGTTCCTAATTGTCCCAGGCTCTCCGTTTGTCTTGTGGCAAGCATTTGGTGCTACGCTTAATCCGAGATCTTTTATCTCGAGGTGTGTGCCTTATCTGAGGTTCATTGAGTAGAATAGCATCCTGAATGATGTACCTTACCATTTATTTGTGGTCACCCACATTTAGCCTTCACAAGTCTTAAGAACGTTGGGCGTGTTGAAGATGCCTTGTAATGGCTGCGTAGTCTATCCTAGTGTAACAGAGGTGAGGAGCGTTTTTATTCCCCCCAAATATTTCGTTTGTGGCAGAGCTGAGGGATGGAGTGTTGAATTCTTCAGCTAGTAGTGCTTGGTCAAACTCCGGGTGTGACAGGTATGACAGCAGCTGTATTATCCCATCTTTATGAGCGTATGAACCTGAGGGGACTGATATATTTCTCTAATCAAGTACTTGGTGCTGTTCGCAATGACGCAACACCAGCATGATTATGTCACCTAAGTTGAATAATTTCTTAGTGGTTTTATGACTCTAAAGTGACTGCTAATGCATTCACCACTCGCTGATTTGTGTACCCTACCGCATCAGAAAATTTCATGTCTTGAAAGCTCACTTCTTCATCTATGATGTTAGAGGAGAGCCTATTTCAGTCAGCTTTATGATCATTAAATTCGACTGGAAGCATTTGTTTCAAATCTCTCTGCTGATTTACCCATTGATCTTCATAAGTTACTATGGAGGGACTCACATGTGTGTCCCATCACCTACGTCCCTCCTGCAGTCGCATCCAGTTCACAAGTTTTAAATAAATCGGTGTTTAAAACATGTTGGCAAGTCCTGTAATGCTGGCTGCTACAGGACGTTTGCCTATATAGCACGTCGTATAATCAGTAAGGTAGCCTTGGTTTCCTGTATCATGTAATGTTGATCGAGGTAAACTAAGACTAAGATATTTCACGTTTAGCTGTTTCGCTACCGCCTCGTTGATATTAACTCTGCCTGGGGCCCCTCTGGGGCTACTGCCGGTCTCACGCCCGGATAAATGAGGAGGTTTGTGCAAGGGGTCAGCGACCCCATACTTTAGAAAACTAATCCGCCTGAAAAACGTTAACCTGAAGAACGTATTCATACCATTTAAACTCTGCCCTGGAAATTAGAAGGTCTTTATTTAAAGGAGTTAGGACGTCTCATGATGGAAGCCTAGTTCCTTCGGAAGTCACGAGGCTGATGCCCCTTCTGACAATCAGAGAAACCATTAATGTGAGTACATGGAATGTTCGTACAATATTGGAGAACGGGAGAGTCATCCAAGCTGCTGCAGAAACGAAAAAATACAACCTGGAGGTGCTTGGAATCAGTGAAACACATTGGACGCAGGTTGAACAACAAAGACTAGCTTAAGGAGAGCTGCTGTCATGCTCCGGCCATGAAGAAGAAAATGCTTCACATACACAAGGCGTTGCACTGATGCTATCCAAACAAGCACAAAAAGCACTTACAGGATGGGGACCTCATGGACCCAGGATTGTCTAAGTCTCCTTCGAAACAAAGAAAGAGGGCATTACAATGAGCCCCATTCAATGCTATGAGTCTACCAACGATTACAATAAAAGCGTTAAAGAACAATTCTACGATAGGCTGCAGTCAGTCGTCAAGAAATACCCAATAAATGACTTTACCATTCTGATGGAACTTCCACGTAAGATCTTATAGATTAGCAGTCACATCATGTCAAATCTACACTTTTAGAATTAGATCTATTATTAGAGCAGTACTGATAAAGAAGTAGACAATAAATCTAAAGCTTCACTCTCCTCTAAATACCAAGAAAAGTCTTCAACAGGGTACTGTTAAGCAGAATGAAGGACTCCGTAAAACCCCAACAGCACAGAGCTTGGAATATGACGTAGTTGTAACCTAACAACTAACCGGGCGAACTACTTTTCTTCGGTAACCCAACTTCCAAGCCTTTTCTCTTCAACTTTAATTCAGGACCACGATCGTTACATACTACTGTAGGGCTTTAAGTCAAACTTGGACCATATATGCGTTACAGAACTGCAGATTCATTGTGCAGAGTTGTCATACAAACCTATTTGTTAGATGACTAGCATATTTGAATAAGTATTCCGTCAAACAGTTTTGATGACTTTATCTTTTTTTAGTAACTCTACTTAGGTAGTCTCTCGCTTGTAATCCCATGTTGTGGATTATTGATCATCCCTGTAATGATGGCGTGAACCTGATATGTCAGAAACAGATAGCACAGTAGTGCTTTATTCCGTTTAAAACCATATTTTTGCTCCATCCCTGCTAAGTGATTTGCTATCAAACGTTCTTCATAACGTTTTCAGACTCCCAACCCCGGCTGCCAATGTAGCTTTTTCTGTGTTTCAGTGGTAAGTCACAGCTTCATAGTTCTTGATTCTCCAAAGTTATCAATCCATACTGTTCTTCATAGTTACTGTTTTGTTTCAGGTTAAACGTGGCAGTTTGATATTTAGAAGGATTGAGTGTGAAACCATTAACAACAGACTATCGTCCAATAAGATTATAAGGGGCTGTAAAGAGTATGAAGCCAGAATACATACTGTGGAATCATGCGTATGTTTAACATATGTATTTTCTGTGGGAGATGACAGATCATGTTTAAAAAAAGAGAAAATAAGAGAGAGAACCACGAGTTCGTCGATGTGCTGATCATTTCCCTCCTTACACAGTAAACTGTTCTATTCCAGATAGGTAGGAACGTATCCAGTTAGTTACTCAGCTGTCAATGTTGACGTTAATCAATTTGTCAAGTGGCAGTTATCTTGAAAAAGAGTCGAAGACAGAATTATCGACTTCAAATGCGCATCGAATATACTGTCTACACCTTTCAAATTTGAACGCTATATTATGATACAGAATATCAACAGCATCTGAGGTGTCTCTTTCGCATTGGTGAGCAAGCTTATATGGATCAGTATACTCTTTTAGTTCAGGATAAAGTGGAAGTGGCAATAATTTTCACATCGTTTCGAGAAAAGCTGAAGTTATTGCTATAGTTCTAAATTTTGAATCCTTATAATCAGTTACTTCCTTAGATATTAGAGTTATTCTTATCCTTCTCTTTGTTTTCGGTATAAGACTGGATGAGAAGGATTCACTAGGGATGCTCATAAATAGATGAAACAGAACGTTAGCACACTTCTTAAAAGTCAGATCCTAAACATTGGAACGAGTCTAGTGACTGGGGGCATTTCGGACATCAATTTTAGAGGAAAATGGATCACGGCTATTCTTCAAACCTATGGATATGGGAAGCACGACATCACATGAATGACCTACCTAAGCCATAAACATTCAGCTGGTTGTCGCCTCTAATTCGTCTCTCACCTGTGCGTTCGTTATATGGCTTCCTCATACTTGAAGAGCTTGTACAAGAATTTTTGAGTAAACGTCCAGTCCAGACGCTTAACCTCTCGGTTTATTAGACCATTTGGCTTTCGAACTTCAATGGAGTTTTTCTTCTTGTATATACTTCTTTTTTTCTTCCGTAATCGTTTCAGATGGGGAGATATATATCGATTACAACTCACAAAAACAGTTTCATTGACGCAACAAATATCAAAAGAGAATTCAAGATAACAAGCGATAACATCAAAAGTATTTTTGAACGAGTCACCTGGAAATAACTTCTAGTTCACTATACATAATATCTTTTCTAGATTTTGAATATTTTCTTCTGAGTAATCCCTGTATTTTGGTTTCTTTGTCTTATGTAGGTGTGTATCCTCTCGAAGCTTGCCACATACTTTAGGTAGAACACGAATAATACAATAATCAGAACTGAACAATGGAGCGCATTTAAGTCACATATATTTTCAAGTCATTGGTGAAAACTGAGTCTAGATGAGCATCCAAACAGGTGGGACAATCTACTACCAAGTGACCAAGTGATGAAAGAAAGCTACAGTCGAATAGATTAAAATCACCACAGACAATGGAGACTATGTGCAGTCTTCAGTCCAGTTGGTGATACTAAACAATCGTCTTGAAAATCGTTTAAACAGTAATCTAGAATTTTGATCACGCCGAAATTACAGTACATGCTTAGACAGTAGGAATTGGAAATAGTCCACTTTGCCGATTATTAAGCTGCAGTTGACAGTTGGCTGTTCAGGAGTCGACACTTTCATTTTTTTCAGTGCATATTGCCAGCCACCACGATGACTCTGATTGCACTTTTTAGTATATTGTGAAGCGATGAGTCATATAACTTTCATATACATACCTAAATAGGTTGTGCAAATAACAGAAACAAGGGTGTGTTAAATCAAACAATATGATCAACTTGTCGGAATATCTAGAAGGTAGAAATAGGTTTCCTAGGTATTCGAGCAGATCGCCTCAAATGTTGAATTTAGTGATCCAACCCTTAGAAAGACTAGGGAACAATCTTTTCTTTGCTCTGATAACATCAAATCGCTTGTTGGAACAGTAGTCACTACCTTTGATCTGCATCGGTAGATGATATAGTAAGTTCCTGTTTGGTGGATAATAACATTGATACTCACTGTCAGCAGACTACAATAACTTTGAATGCTATTTCATCTGGACTATTAGGTGTTAAGTTCATCAATGAGGTTTACGAAGCTTGAAACTGAAAATTTAGTTGAGCACCGATTTCCATAAATGTGCGAAAGACTACTCAATAGAACGAGACGATTTGTAAAGAAATGCTCAAATAGCTAAACATACCAAGATCAGATATACTAGCTTTCTCTGCGTGGTTTCATTTACAGATGGGGAAATACAGTCACCGCAGTTTCTCGAGTACTAAGTGTTTACGGTCTGAACAGAAGTTGACCCACCTTAACATTATCATGTGGATCTATGAAGCGAATCTTATGGGCTTAATCATCGGAAAAAATATCCACACATAATCCCATTGTTGTACCATTATTTCATTGATAGCGGAATGCTTAACAAGTTGCTGTGGTCAAAGATCCGTCAGCCTAGAGAATTATAAGAAGCCTGAGCATCCGTCGTATTCATGAGGGAGAGCCTAGAACATGATGGAGCTCAACATAAACAAGGAGACAAGGATTCATTCACATTTCATTTCTCCCTTCTGCTTCCGTTCAACCACTGATTCCTTTTATAAAATTCGAGTAGACACAATTAAGGATCGTCGTGGTACATAAAATTCATCCTCTGTCTACTTTTAAATCTATTAGCTGTTAACTGAGTGGTAAGACTAGCCAAAATGGACGTCGCACACACTAATTACTATCGTCCAGCATCATGATTTTAAGTGTCATCTATAGTTGCCCTGATTTGTCTTTTATGATCCTTGCTTCTTTCTGTTTTTGTGTGATCATCGACCTATTCACATATCTGTCTGGCCAATCAAATTATTCACTTCGTTGTCTGTTCCTTTGAAACGTTTATTCCCTTCTACTCATTAGCATCACAATCTTAAAGGCATTATAGTCAAACTAACTAGCCGACTGTCATGTTAAGTTAAGGCTACCTTGCCCAACAAACCTTCTTTGTTTATGATAAATCCACTTACTCATACATGAGAAATACCAACCTCCAAGTTGTTAAATCCATTCGGACTAGCAAAGCCTAGTTGCTAAAAATCCATATAAACTACTGAAAACCAAAATCCGTGACTAAAATGTGAGATGTGACCACGAAAAAAGAAACCGATTTACAATTATTCGTCACAAACATATTGGATGTTGGATAAACGGGAGTTCAGACAAAGCAGTGGCTGCCAGATGAGTCGAAACTCAAGGTCGTCCTTGGCTATAACGATTGGCAGGTGAAGTAAAAATGGACAAACAGATATTCAACTTGAAATTCGCTGCTAAACAAATGCAACGTTGTGCCATTCGTTGCAACAAAGATGAGGCGGAATCTAAAAATAAATTAAAGGCTGCTATCAAAAAGGGGGACCACGAAGGTGCAAGAATCCATGCAGAAAATGCTATTCGACAAAAGCACACCGCAACAAGCTATTTACGACTTGCTGCTCGAATCGATGCTGTTGTCTCCAGGGTTCAGACGGCCATGACTACTAAGGGTTTCACTAGGAGCATTATGACAGTTGTCAATTGTATGGAAAGCGCAGCCAGGTCCATGGATATGGAAAAGGTTAGTTGTCTCATGGATAAATTCGAAAGGGAATTTGACAACATGGATATACAGTCCAAGGTTTGTTTATTTGTTTGTATTAGTTTCACTTAAATAGCTTGTAAGCTCCTCGTTAGCCAATACAATGTCCATTTCAACCCCTGAAAACGAAGTCCAAGGTCTGATAAATCAGGTAGCTGACGAAACCGGAATAGAACTGAACTACGAACTCCCTGGTTCAACTCACACTTCCGTTTCAGTGGCCCCTATTTCAGCGGAGGAGGAAGATGGTCTCACGCAGCGCTTAGCTAGACTTAGACAATCATGAGATAGTTTTATGTTCAGCTGAATTTATTTTACTTCATTTGTTCCCTTTGATTTTAACTTGAGATAACCTAATTTTATGTTTTCAACCTGTTTTGTTGACTTTACTTGCAAGTAATTTGTATTTATGAACGTTACATCAAATCAAGAGTGCATTGTGACAATTTTCTTTTTTGTGTTTTTAGAAATTATGATTTATTTTTAAAGCTACATAATATTCCTTCCGTCAAATTTGACCACGTTTTTAGCCTGTTCAGGTCGTTGGGTAGACGAGTTTCATGATACTACTTAAACAAGACAAGCACATTGATACGTCTACACACGAATGGGATGGTTTAGGCATATATTTGTTTACTTGCATTTATTTATTTATTTAAACACAAATATTGGTACAAGAAGGCACCGAGTACATATGCACCTCACAAGTCACTTGATTCGTGTGTGAGCTGTGATACTCCCCCGGTGCCCAGATCGAAGCAGGTGGTTTTATTGGGGGACCACTCCTCAAGCTATTGACCTAAATGTCTAATCCACTAGTCAGTAGATCAACGTCAGGAGATGCAGTCCCATGAAAGCCAGTGACCAAAAATAGGTTCATACGCCATTTGTTCCTTCAGGATCCTGTAGCCCATGTGCATCAATAATTTGGAATTAGGGTTTTCCAACTCCCCTAGGTGTATCCTCGATATCCACCAACCCGGTTAAAGCACCGGATATTCGCTTTTCTTCCTCTCAATTTTGCAAGCAGCACCCCTTTCGCGAGAAGACATTGAGTAGGACTCCCCTGGCAGAGACTATATACGTGTAGCCATGTGAGAGCATTTGGAGAGGTAGAGCTGACCCTCCCCACCCTCAACCGTACCAGGGCATGTGGCACCACCAATTCGTAACCAATAGTTTTGGTAGTTCAGGGAGTATTGTACTTCACCAGTCGTGATAGCTTAGTTGTATATATTCCAAATCTTAAATGCATTTCCATTCCGTCCACTTTCGTTCACTGATATTAATATTAATATTAAATATTCCAACTTCTATTATATTGGATTATTGTTCGGGACTCGTGTGTTGAAGTCTGCACTCACGGCTAAATCTGTTTTCATTATTATTTGCTATTAGGAAAAAAAAGATTAAGTGAAACATAAACATCATTTATTTAGTTATACGCAAGATAAATCTTCCATAAATGACAAACTGTTATTAGTTCACTTGTAGCTATTCATTAATTTTTTGTTCAGATCATAATCAACAGGAATTAGTCATTAGCTAACAATCAGTCCCTTGTATTCCAGTTCTTTGCAATTGAAGTTGTTAACCAAGCACGTAAATTTATTTATTGAACCTTGACTTTTTGTATAAAAAGCTAGTAATTTTCCCTGGCTACCCAAACCCGAAATAGATGGAGTGATATTCGAATCCACAGTCTACTGATTAAATGTCGATTACCACTGTCTAGTCTCTAACATGTACTGAATTCTGTCGAAATAAGTGTTGAAAATATAATTATATTTTTTGTAATATCCCAATGACTGGAAGTACAATCATTGGGATATAATAAAAAACGTAATTATTAATTTTCTACCCGATACTCAGTTGATTTGAAACAATGTTGAGATAGTTGTCTAGGAATTAGAACCTGATCATTAAAAAATTGAATGGGCAGCGTTAGATCATTCTAATGTAAGACATTCTTTATTGATAGAGGAGACTGTGTCTCAGTGAATTCGCTTCAAGAACACAAATAAACGAAACAATGAAGCCCTTATCATACTGATATTGTACACACTTGTTCAAACTTCAGTTCACTATTCATTTCCCCCCAAATGCCCTGGTACGGCTGAGAGTGAGGAGGTGCCACCCTCCCTCTCGAAGTGCTCTCACATGGCCACATATATATAGCCTCTGACAGGGAAGTCCTACTCACTGTCTTCTCGTGACACTACTGTTGTTTACGAAATTGAGAGGACGAAAAGCGAATGTCCGGCGCTTTAACCGGGTTGGTGGACACGGTGCGTCCACCCTGATTCCAAACCGATGGTGCACATGAGCTCCAGTATCCTAAAGGAACGAATGGCGTATGAATCAATCGTTCGTCAACGGCTACCATGAGACTGCATCTCCTTACGATGTTCTACTCCCTTGTGGATCAGATTTTTAGGTGAAAGGCTCCGGGTGTGGTCCCCGTAAGAAAACCACCTGTTTCGATTTGGGCACTTAAGCAGTATCACAGCCCTTCAAACAAATCGAATGAGATTTGTGTGGCACATATGTATATGGTGCCCCTTTGTAACAATATTTATGTGTTTGAAGAAACGGATCACTATTCATTTGTTTCTGAAAATTAAAATATTTTATTGATTGGAAATTGTAGTAAAACTAAGTATGAACTTTGCCAAAGTTTCCATACCTTATGAGCACGACAAGGTGTAATGAATAACATGATGAACAAGAGTTTATATAATATTCGTACTATTGATATTGAGAAAGAATAGACGTTGAGGGGTACATCACAAATAGGAATTAATCCGAGGAATATAATGTGCAAAATAATCTTGGAACTCCACACTTCGGGGAAGTTAAAGAGTTAATCCAACTGTCCGTCTATGACCGACATTGAGCAATGTCACCCAACGTCCCCAACCACCGATCACGGTTATTTCACTGACCCAAAGCAGGTAGTCCTAATTTAACTGTTTCACTGTGATAGTCAATCACTTCATGGATGGGTGCCATGTTTTCGTCTGATCTTTTCGTGTAAGAACATCTGAGAAACTGTCCAAATTAATGTAACCATACAAAACCATCAGTTTTCAAATAACTCCATAAAAAGTAAGTGGTAGTGGAGCAAGTTTGGTACACAAAAATATTTAATCCAGAGTTTTCGTGTTATTTTTTTATTGTGCAATTACATAACTACCAAAATTTAACCAATTGTCAATTCATACCCACCAGCATGCCGCTGAGATGCGAAATGCTTCTACAAAGTTGACAGAAGACTCTAATTGGTATCAATTTTGAGGTTGAGTTGTCGGAACTAGTTGTTTTGTTAATGATTGTGGTGGCGTTGTGAAGGATATCAAATTTCAATTAGTGATTAGTAGAACGAACTGCTAGTCTGTTTCATACTTGTTATTGACGTAACTTTAGCTAGACTTGAAAGCTCAGATAAACATAGAATCAACAAGGATATTTTTGCTTTACATCAATAAGATAGTACTCTTCTGAACTGAGGATCTTAATCAACTCTGTTTGATAGTCATCTTCCGAGAGGAATTGCCTACATTTAGCGTCAAGGCTATCTAAATAACACAACCGAAAATGTGTTTTAAACGTAGTGGTGTTGAAAACTGAGTGTTATAGTTTCGGGACTTTAATAATGCTAGCTTCTCTACACAGCTACAACTAAATGAACAAAGGGAGAAGGGTAACGATTGACATCTAATCGTAACATAACAACCAGTTGTTATGAGTTAGGATCTTTTGTTATACAGTACCACTTCCTTGAAAATGTCTAAAACGTATGTGCAACTCGATAGCTTCAATCGTTATTAGACACAATGTAGATACTGAAGTTGCATTTTCACATCTTATTCTTAATTAAAAGTAGCATTCATCTTTTAGTCATATGAGACCAATCTTTCTGGTGTCTTTTTGTGTAATATTCTTGTTATTATCCAATTATTCCTTCTCAGTGTTGTCATTTCGGTTTTTGCGGCGTATGTCTTAGTACTTTTTTGTTCTAAACAGTTTTTAGACACCTTATCATTACAATAAGTGAATTTAAAATATTGTCGGATTAAAGATGAATAGCTTACTATGATTATTTAACACCTGCTTAAGTTTTGAATACTCTTGATAGACATGAAGCGCCAAACAGTAGAACACAGATAACGGAATAAAAGAACTAGATCTTTCGGGTCCAATCAGCATCAAATAGTAGAGAGATTAGTCACCGCTCAGTGATCATTCAATGTAAATATCTCATACAAGAAGTTAGTTCGACGTTGGACAGCTTCCTGGTAACGTCTTAGACTGTGAAGCTGAGTTACATGTGTCTGGATCTCACAGGAAGCATCGGTTTCCTCAAGATTACAGGTATCTCTAGTTGACGAGTGCGAACTGTGGCGAAATCTAGATCAATCAAGGTTTCCTACTGACTATTGCCAACCAGCTTACATCACTACAGTCGGTCAGCTACGACTTAGGACCAGGCACATATACTCATTGCTGCAAGTTGCCATACTTCATTAGCACAACAATATGAACACCATAATCATAATAGTAGTTAATTTAGTTCTGGTAGCAAAAATATCACAAGAAGTCAGTCACAGACAAAATAAAACACTAGTAATCTCTGTCAGTAGTAACATTAGATTAAATCGTTTATGAAAAATCACTTTTATCAGAGTCTGAGATATGCCTTATTAACAAGTTCTGACTTACTGACTGAAAACCTATAGTCAAACCTCATATCTCTATCGTTTTCTCTTACCAAATGGATTATACTCCTTGAATAACATCTTCAAACCCTAATCTTTCGGATTACTGCTTATACTCTTACTACTTCTATCACTATGGGATTTGAATCGACAACTGCATCTTTGTGTTAATGTGGTATGGCAACTCGAACTGATGTGCGTACGTACGTACGAAGTTCTACTTTGTAACTGACTGATAGTCAAACTTTTTAATTTATTATCATCAACTACTAATTAAGGAAAGAAAGTATTTCAAAAGAAAAAAAATGTCAATTCTTCATTTACATGATTTAACTTACCTAAATAGTTGAATACCATGTAAATCATATGACTTATCAATCAATCAATTTGTTATGGTTTTTATACCTTGTTTGTCTAATTACAAAGTTACACTTATATTAAATTTATATAGAATTGAAGGGAAAAAAAGATGGTTACATATATATTTATATCTATACCTTGTCGTATATGTTTGCCGAACTCATTTAAAAAAGACATTGTACTCATGGTGTACATATATATAACTGAGTAGAAGATACAGCAGATAGGGTAAGTACAATTTATTGCCAAAAAAAATTCACCCACTATAACTCCATGCATTAATTAGAAAAAAAAATAATCAATATTGATTAAGTAATTGATTGGATGTGCTCATCTATTTTCTAAAAATAGAATCTTTAATTAATTTGATATAATGAATGATAGATATGAATGAATGACAATGAACATGTCTATCATTCTTCATAAAAGATTATCATTGACTTAATTAAAGAAATTAAAAC